GGCGCGGCGAGGGTGGAGTAGAGCTCGGCGGAGAGGGAGGGCGTGTCGCGGAGGAGGGAGAGGGCGGAGGCGGAAGGGGTGGGCGCGGAGAGGAGATCGTCGAGGACGGAGGCGGCGGTCGGGGTGGGAGCGGGTGGGAAGGCGGCGGAGGAGGAGAGGCGGTGCTGTGCTCGCAGACGAGGGAGCGCCGCCGCGAGACGCCTGGCTGCGCACATTGTTGGAGGCGGAAGCGCCGGGACGGAAGGGGAGGAGGCGGCGGGGCGGTGAACTGCCGGTGAGCTCGCCCGGGGGTGGAGAAGGGAAAGGGACGAGGTGTCGACCGGCGGCGATGGTTACTCAGAATGGGCTGGACTGTTGGGCTATTTAGATAAGGCGAAAGGCTTTCATGCAATCCGGCCCAAAATGGATCAAGACCGGTACCTCATTTCCTTCCAATCTCCAATCAGAGAATCGACCTCTTCTTCCCCATTTGCTCAAAAAAACAATTTGCTCAAAGAAAAAAAGACCTGTTCTTCCCCGCCGGCCGCTATTCGACCGGAGATCCCCTACCTGTTCTCCACGCCTTACAAGTCTCCCTATGGCATGCCTCCTCTCCCCAACCAAGGAAAACATCTCCACCAAAGAAGGGGGAAGCTATATTGAATTGAACAAGGCAAAATCACTAATTAAGGAGTACTTGTTGCAAAGAACACTCCATTTTCCCAGGTCATGACAAGTGGCGTACATGCAGCGCGCCACTTGTTGCAACCTGGGAGTTTTCATTTTTTTCGTAGATCCGTTTATTTAAAACGTTTTATCTTTTAAACCGTGCGTCCAAATCTCGAACCGTTTTCATTATTGGATTCCTCACGTCGAGATCTTCAAAACTAGATCCCATATTGATAGGTTTTGACGAATTTTTTTTCACGAAAAAAACCAACGAAAAAAATCGGGTGAAAAAACCGAAACCGGGAGCACGATTTTTTCCCTTTTCGAAAGAGGCACGCCCGTGACTCTCACGAAATCACGCCCGTGCCTCTCCTTAAAGCAAAACCGTGACTCTTGTGGAAGGAAAAAAAACAAAAAACGTGTTTTTTCTTCCGTTTCTGAGAGGCACGTCCGTGACTCTCGCGAAAGCACACCCGTGCCTCTCACGGAAGCAAAACCGTGACTCTCGCGAAAGAAAAAAGCCAGAAAACGCGTATTTTTTCCCTTTCTGAGTGGCACGGCCGTGACTCTCACGAAAGCACAACCGTGCCTCTCGCGGAAGCAAAACTGTGACTCTTGCGAAAGGGAAAAAAACAGAAAACGCGTTTTGTTTTTCCCTTTTCGAGAGGCACGGCCGTAACTCTCGCGAAAGAAAAAAACAGAAAACACGTTTTTTTTCGTTTCCGAAAGGCACGGTCGTGACTCTCGCTAAAGCACAACCGTGCCTTGCGTGAAAAAAAACCGTGACTTTCGCGAAGAAAGAAAAAAGAAAATGCGTTTTTTTTCGCGCAAATTTTTTTTTGAATTTTTTTCTGATCGAAAAGCTAAGGAAGACCGGGGGAAAACCAAAACGTCAAAAAAATCCGGAAAAAACCGTTTAAAAAGCCGAAAATGCGTGCGGAAAAATAAAAAAACAAAATCCAGAGAGAACGTCCAGAGCGCGACACGTGACGAATGGCTGAGAGCGCGCCAAGTGGCGCTGATCGTTGCGAGGCTCCCAAAGGAGCGCTCGTTAACTAGTTGCTCCCTGAACAAAGACACCTCGGTTAAACAGTTGTTTTTCTACCTCGTCAGAGGGCGGTGGGCTCCCGCAATGCATTAAGAAAAAGATAGTTGCTCCAGTTAATTAGGGGAAACATATATACTTAAAAATGTCAACTAGAAAAACCGGACAAAAAATCATGGACGCTCATATCTGCCACATGTGTGGCAAGAAAGGAGGGGGGCCGAACGTCCCTATAATAAAAGATTACCACATCACCGCGTGCATGTATGTGGGAATCTTTTTAAGTTTTCAGTGTTTAAAATGTTCTATCTTTTAAATGAAAAATGCAAATGAAAATCTGTTTTCACCATTAAATCCGTCGCGACGAGATCTTCGAAACTAGATCTCATATCGGTATGTTTTGATGACAATTTTTTTATTAAAAGTTGTCATGTCTATTACACATAAATTATCATGGTGTTTACGCTGAAGTTGTCATAATATGTTTCAACTATCTTTTCTTTTATGTTTAAAGTAAATTTTGACATATTATAGAACAAAAAATTAAGAAACAAAACTTGGCATGATGAATTATTAAATTTTGTCATGATCCATGAAATAATTTTGACATGATTCATAATTAAAAAGAAATATGTCATCAATTACTTTAAAAATGCCTAATCAATGATTCAAATTTGCCATGAACCATAAAATAAGTTTGGCATGGTGAATTGCTTAAATTTATCATGATATATGCACTAAAATTTGCCATGGTCTATATAAAAAATAATGTTCACTGACAAAAACTAGATTTGCCATGGTCAAAATATTAAAATTGCCATGATCTACAAACAAAAATTGATGATCTATAAACTAAATTGCCATGATGAATTACTAAAAATTGCCATGATCCATGAATTAAATTTTCCGTGGTTAATTACTAAAAATTTCCATGGTCAATTAATAAAAATTGCCATAAAAAGTAGTTGAAATATAATGGTAGCTTTAAATCTAGAAGAAAAAACTAGACGAAACATGTCATGGCAACATTAGTGTAAACGCTATGGCAACTTTAGTGTAAACATCATGGCAACTTTTTGTCCAAAACAAAGTCGTCAAATCAATATGGGATCTAGTTTTGAAGATCTCGTCGAGACGGATTTAATGATGAAACCATACAAGGCACGGTTAATTAAGGTGGCAAAGACCGCACAACTAGCACTCAAGAAATCATACGAGCCGAATACAAGGATGCCTAGGCCCAAGACTATCATCCAACCATGTCGACCTCTGCAGCCTGAAGAACAAGCCACAACCAGATGCGCACTCGCGCCTAACCAAGACAGTTACCATCTGTGTGCAGTGTGCTGTAGCAAACCGGGATGTCTGAGCAGACGCTCCATTGTAACTGATGGACCTCCTCTTTGCTACACGGCCTGCCGGTGCCACGCTTTGCATCCATGGCAATAGCATGATGTTGTTCCAAGCCTCTCCTGCAAAGCGTGGTCCAAGAGGGATCAAAACGCTAGCTCAACTTCAGAGTGGAATCAATTTGTGGACAACTTCGTTCACATTCCATTTCAGCGCCGCATCTTATTTCCATTGAACTATAATATGTACAACGTCGATAATTATAGTTCGGTCGTTTTCTTGCTTATGTATCTATGTACATTGCCACAACACCAGTATAGCAGAAAGTCGGTGAAAAACAGGTTACTAGTCTTCATGATTACCTGACAGAAAAGTTGCAACTTTCTTCTTCTTATTTCACTTGGCCTTCTACTCGCTCTCACATGTCCTCGTCTCCAACAAGATAGAGCTTCTGCCCATCAATTACCATGTCCACTTCCTGAACCGCTGCGCCATCCTCACAGAGCAAGCGCAGGCGTGAGCCGGACAAACCCAGCTTCTCCTGGGCTGACCTGATGAGTTCATTCATAGTGTGAGGAATCCACAGCATCACCCCCTCTTTTCGCTTGGCATCAGTATTCAACGGATGGCAAGGGAACACGGAGCACAGTCGTTGATGTATTTTATCTGCCAGCAAAAGATTTATTTTGTCATAAACGAACAATGCGCAGGTGATTTCACAGAGGTTTCAAGGCTTCTCAACTTGCCTCTCACTTTTTCGCCTCGTGTGGGGAACTTGGAGAGCTCCTCGGTTTTTGCCTCTTCCAGAAGCACTATAAGAGGCTTACTCCCGGACTTGCGCCCTTCGTCCAGCGGAGTAGTACCGCGTCTGCATACATGGCCGTTCAATGAAATTATTATACTCTTGGTGGTTTGAAGCTTGATAGCATAGATAAAGGATGAAGTATTGTTTGGTGGTACCTGTCTGTTACAAGCACACTTGCACCAGCGTCTACCAACAACTTCGCCATTATATACAAGCCCTCTGAAGCGGCTATGTGGAGAGGATGCCGGTGGTCGTAGTCTTTCGAGTTTGGGTCGGCACCGTAAGCTAGAGCCCCCCGAATGAAATCAGTCTCTCTCTTTGATACAGCCATGCAGAGATGGATACCGGCATTCTCGAGGTTCAGCTTGGCTCCTTTGGAAAAGAGCAATGAGGCCACTCTATCATGCCCCCGCTTCACTGCCTCTAGTAAGGGTGTGTTCCCAAAATTATCTGTTATTCAGCAAAGATCGAGTGCATAAAAATGTGTTATCATATAACTAACTATACAAGTGTATATGCAAGAATTTGGAAATGGCCACAGGGATGCATTTCACTGAGTGAGCATACCGGTACAGTTGATATCAACGCCCTCATGGATAAGGAACTGCGCAACTTCTTCATAACCTTTGGAAGCTGCAAGATGCTGTGACGATGATGATGGTTATGGTTATATCAGGCATGCAATATTTTATTATTTAGGGTTTAACCAGATAGCAAATCCTTAGCAATTCATACCAAAGGAGACCGCCCATCATAATCAGTGTTCTTTGGATCGACTCCAGCTCGGATTAAGTCTGTCAGCTGATTAAGCTCACCGTGGAAAGCGGCTGTGTTCACTCTTAAGGTCAGCTCTTCCTCTTGTTTCCCTATATGGAATTTGATATCTGGTCCTATTTGTTTGACTCGTAGGCCGTATTCATTGCTCTGCAGTCCGACATCATCAAGAAAAGAATGCACTATCCATGAATACTGGAATTAAATAAAATAATTACTGACATGGTGGTTATTTGTACTGTTTACCTCAGTAAGATTGCTCAAAAGTTTTCTTCCATCAGCGAAATAAATCCCCAATATGTATGTCAATGACTCTTTATCCAACCGTAAGAGCCTGCAAAGTTCACAAACACGAATATTGTAGGGCTGTGGAACGTTGCAAAGAATAGCAATTTCTCCAAAAGAGTTCCCTTGCTCAAACATTAAACTGGCCTCCTCTTGACCATCTTTGCCAATGCCAACTCCTTCCTGAACAACAAGAGCATAAGACCATGTTTCAGGCAAGTGGGTACACCTGCACCCATTAACTTGGAAACCATTCTCTGGCACTAGAAATGTACCAACAAAAAGAAGAAGTCCAAATTAATGTAGCTGTAGTGCGTAGTCAGTATGACACAATGTTACACAAGATACTGTAGTAAAAATCAACAGTGTATTGAAATACGAAGATCTTCGTATGGTGGTGCCAAATACATGTGATATATAACAAGTTGGTATCCTTTTTTTGCGCTTTATTTCTCAAGACACATATGACCATGCAATTTTGTGGGTAATCATATATGTGTGGATTTCCTATGCTCCTTAGATATATCCCACTACTATTCTCCATGAGTTCTTGCTCTGACATTCACATACTTTATGTTTCTACACTATGTACTCTCTCTGATGAACCGATGCATGCTTCGCTTGTACTAATTTATCCCTATGCATATTAAGCATTGAAATTGACTTGATGATTAAGCGATAGTTGAATCCAGGACCCACTGACCAAATTCCAGGCAATGGGTCACTGTAGATTATGCTTTACTATTTAGTGTGTAAACTGGGGATGTGTTACAGTGAATCCGATGGAAATATGTGAATCTCAAACTCACTAGTGCACCCTGACAGACAAAGTATAACTGATCAACTACACTTCCTTGCTCCAAAACAACTTCTTCTGGTAAGTAGAACTCTTCTTGCAGCCTGGCAACCTGCAAGGAGTAAAGAGCACAAGAGAGAATTATTGGAAAAGTTCATACAATTATAAAATAGATCAACATGTATAATTTGTTCAAACAAAAAGAATACTCACAATCTGTTGAAGGAATTCTGCTGAACATCCTTTGAACAGTGGTGTCCTTTCAATATATGGCATGTACAGTGTTTGTGAAATCTGCAAAGGCAACACAATGTATGATACATCTTCAAAGACTCACAATAGAAGAAGTTTTCAAACTGTATTTGGAATAATGGCAAGATATCTAAAATATAAATCATCACCTTTGCACGAATAGAAATTGGAATATCCCGAAGAACAGAGGCTTCAGTGCGGCTGCTTTCATACTGCAACCTCAAATGACCCTTGATCTGTTCTCTGATGTCCTTTCCAAGTTTATGTCTGTTCATATACATGATAGCTTCTTTCATTTTATCCCTGAATCGCTCGGTTGCCGAGCCTTTCACAACAATTGCAGTCATGTTACCGATGAGATAAGCTCCAAGAACCATACCAAAGGAAACATATATCATGACAAATATCATTTCCCTTAGATTTACAGCATGAATGTCACCATAGCCTGCAAAGGAAAAAGAATATCATATAAATTTAAAATACCAGACTATGTTTCTACAAAGATAGTTGCGGAAAGTGGAAATTATTTGTTTAAGCATGAGACCAAAACTTACCAACAGTTGTCATGGTGACGATGGCAAAGTACATTGATGTAATATAACGTGTGGTTAGATCAATATCCCTGAAATGAGAATAGCTATAGTCTCCTAACTGCAAACTCCCTATCCATGTATATCCTTCCATTGATTCAGGAAGTGTTGTTGCCAGGTAATAGAAGATGCAAGCTGCCGTGTGTGTAAAATAGAGCTCCACAACTATGAGTTTCACTATTCTTGTGAACAGGTAATTAACACGAATGTCCTTTTCCAAATCCCTAAAAAACTGTGTAACTTTCTGAGTTCTTGTCATGCGAATCCACAATAAGTATCGTACTTCTTCTTTACGTCCACAAGCCTGTTAGAGTTCATTATATGAAAACGAGATCAGATAAGGTAAATATAACTACTTCCTCTGTAAACTAATACAAGAGTGTTTAGATAACTAAAGTGGTGATCTAAACGCTCTTATATTAGTTTACGGAGGGAGTACATCATAAGCTCCACACTGTATGTGAAATCACTGAAAATAACCGGGGAGCAAAAGAATGACCTTATAGATAACATCCCAAGGGAAGCAACCAAGTAAATCGAAGATGAAGCTTGATTTGCAATATCTGGATTCATAAAGCAGAGAAATCATGGTTACATGTGTAGTCACAGAACATATATCGTAAAGTACAAACTGTTGGATGTAATCCTGTAGTAGAGAGTTTTTTCTTGCTTGTGTTGTGTCTGAGTAGCTTGTGGTGTATAGTCTGAGAAAGAGTTCTTGAGCATATTGGGTTTGAGCTAGAAAATCACCGAGTCTGAATCATATACAAGTACAAATGTTCCTATATGTCTGAGTTGGATAATAATAAAACAGTTCATGAGCTGTGCATATGCATAAACAAAGGTTGCATGGTCTTCAAATAATAAGGAGAAAAGGAAGAGCATGGGTTAAGCACTGCAAAATTGGAGGAATATTGTTCTCGTCTTTGTATTCATGTGCTTGAGCAAAAAGCCAACACAGATGCCTGAGCAGAGACCCTCTTACATTTTTCCTCTCTCGAACAATTATCTAAATGTGCGTCATTGTGTGTTAGATGAAACTCTCATATATATATTTTTTGTGCGAATGAAAAACTCTCGTATCATTGCAAGGATAAATTCTGAAAATACAGCTTGCAAATGCCCCTCTGGGAAAGAGTTTTCATGGAGCAACATTAAAATAACTGAGAGCCACAACACATTTCTTTTAGAATCCATCTGTTTTAATGACTGGTGTTTTCCATTCGTTTTAGTGAGTGGTGTTCATCTAAGGACGAGAAGCAAATATCTGCAGTACTAGGAACGTAGGGTGCGAATATTAGGCAATAATGCAGTGCTGCAGTTCAAGTTCCAATTATTATAGGTATTATTCGAACATGTAAGACAGGAATGTTACCGGATGGCGATAGAGGTCGGATTGTATATGATGCAGAATGTGTCTGAGTCACGGTAGGCCACAAGAAACCTCAGAACAATATCAATAAGGAAGGCAATCTGGCCAACCATGTCCAAGAGGAAGAGGTTCCAAGGCAGCCCCCTGAAGAACCCAAATTCCAAGGGTGTAAGGAAGGAACTAAATGCTGCCCAAAACACTATGAACCTTGTCCATATCCGATACCACCTGCAGAGACGCCACCCAAAACAAAACCACGAACCAGTAAATTAGCTGCATTCCCGTCGATATATACAGCTTAAACTGAAACAATTTGAGTTGTTCGTCCTTTTCTAGAACTGGTTTAAACATGCATGAGAGAAATGTGAACCAAGATTCTCCAAGGCTTGAAGCCTGCAACATTCAACTTTTAATGTTCTGATTTGCAGCCACATAATTTGTTTTCCAAATACTCCAGTGCGAACCACACATGGACTGAAGAGAAAGAGCCATGGCGGTGAAATTTGCGGAAGAGGAAGGGACGGGCGGAGGATCGGTGGCGTGGCAGGGAAGTGGTACGTACTCGTTGTTGGGGTGGACGATGTGGCTGCGGAGGAACCCGCCCTCTCCGTCGTCGGCGAGGCGGCTGAGGGAGCGGGGCGGGGGAGCGCGGCTGCTCCGCGACGACTTCAGCCGGTCGGGCAGCACGTCCACCTGGTACTCCTTCTCCGCCTCCTCTTCCTCCTCCCCCACCCTCCGATTGAGCCCCAGCCACCTCCCCATTTGCACGGCATGAACACATCTCCGAATGCCAGTGAGTGATGAGCTCGATCGATCGAGCCCCCGCGCCGCCGGCTGGCCAGTTTCTGTGAACATCGGATGTCTTGTCGCATGGATCAGTCCGAATCGCTGATATTATCGCCGATTCCCTTTTTTCGCGGCTTTAGGGCTCTTTGGTTTGCAGGACCCCAAGAGGAAACACGAAAAACATAGGAATGCATGTGTCAAACACAAAACTATTCCCTCCGTCCCATAATATAAGAACGTTGTTGACACATTTTCTCTTTAAGACAAGATTTATCAAAAGGTGTGATGCATTCTTCTGCCTTTTTATTGTATAAACCACAGTTTGCCTTATGATGAGTGGAAAGCGTCAGCGTTGCGCGAGGCCGTGGGCCTGGGTCTTCTTCCTTGGTGCCTCTGACTTGTCCGCCGCCTTGGCCAATGCCAGTGCTCCTGATTGCCGGTCGTCAGGGCCAAGGGCGGTTGTGAGGCCGTGGCGCAAGCAACAACCAGCATCGACATATATCGAGGAGCTCTTGATGTTGAGCTTGCATTGGCATCACCATTTTGGTGCTTGCGGCCTAGAATTGGCGGTCGGTATTAGGTCTCCGGCGTTGACAAGGGTGGCCAGGGGTGGGGTTGTCCATTCCGGCGGTCATTAGTTAGTGGGTTTTCACTCATTTTTTACTCATGTTTATACCGGATATTCTCATATTTTTATGAGAGAACCACTTTGATTTGCCTATTATAATAACTAATAATTGCAATGAATGCAAATCTCTTTGTTTTTTTATTTCCTACATAAATGGACTATTTTAGGTGATAAATCAAATCATAGGCTAATTCACATTGGAGAAGACCCAAAACACTATTTCATCTGTCCATGCTATAAAGGAGAGATAATCCTTTCGTCATTTGTGGGGAGAGAACCACATCAGATAACATTTATCAAAAGCCTTCAGGTTGTCACCATTCCCATCTATAGTAGCCACCGCCATAACCATCTCCATCATCATAGCATTCATCTTCATCAGTATAACACTTGTAATCAAGGATACATCACGATTAGCGGCATTGTAAGACTTATAAGTTATAATCATTCATCTTCAAGTATCAATAACTAAACTATCTATTGCTTGTGATTTATCGTGATGTGCGGCTAGTCCCCATGGGCTAAGGGTTGATGCATAGCCTCACAGCCCCATGTATGCGCGTTAAGGGGTTGTTGGTATACTTTGATGATAACATTTTTACGTGTTCCACAACGGTTATGTTTTGTCACAACCTCGATCATAGGGTTTGTAGGTACCCAATGTACCCAAGATCAAGCAAAGATAGGTTAAGGGCACATAGGTGTGTGAGGCTATGCCAAACATCGATAATAGTAGATTAGCATAGTAGCCAAAAGCAATTCACTAGTGCAGAACCGGGCAATAGCATCGGTTCGTAAGGCCCTTTAGTGCCGGTTCGGTAACCGGCACTAAAGTGTGGGCAGTAAAGCCCCCCCCCCCTTAGTACCGGTTCAGCACGAACCGATGCTAAAGGACAACCACGTGGCACGAGTCAGCTCCGGGGGCGCGTAGGACATTAGTACCTAATGTTTGGGTGTGTTTTGATTTTATTTTTTATTTTTACTTTAATTTTGTGTTTTCAATTTAATTTAGTGATTGTTTTACATTATAATGAGTTATTAAATCATTAGGTGAAAGTACTGCAGATTAGTTTGACTGGATGCATGTGGATCCTAGCTAAGTGATCAAGTATATGCCATATTGGCATATACTTGATCACTTAGCTAGAATCCATCCAGTTAAAACTAATCTGCGGTTTCTTTCATAAATGATATAATAACTCATCATCATCATCATATTAATATAAAAACTCTTGCATCATATATATCATCACCAACAACAGTTTTTATAGCTAGCTAAAAATCATCATATAATAGTCATCTCATTACCACTACTTAATCATCATATAGTCATTACCGTTATCTAATCACCACCAACACTAGCTTAAAGAAGAAACATTCACTTGTACCAGAAACAAAGATATCATCGAGTTCAACATGGTAATGATATTATAAGCGTTCATAACACCACAAAAACAAATCACTCTTTGAGATTAAGTTCGGGACGAAGAACACGGACATGAGAGGACAAGTACTAAGAGCATGAACTAGCTAATCACTCCCGCTGCTCTCTCTCAGGTAAAATAGTATAGAACATGTATAGCTTTCCTGATTCATCATATTGGAGCATGTAGATGAACATGTCTCCTAATCATGGGTTGCGCTTCTGATTGCTGCCCCCTAGTACTTCTCTGCGATCGTTCACAATTTTGCTCCAGTCTTTTACTATTAAACATTCCTCGCTATTAAAAATCTTGAATGCACTAAAGTGCATTGTAGGATATCTTGGCCGTAAGCTAACAATATTCATGGTACCTTTAGTCTCGATCCAATCAGGCACAACATTCATCGGGAGTCACTGTTGAAGAACATCGTATAGTAACATATTTAGCAATCAAGTTTAGCTTAAAAAATAATGTATGAAAAAGATGCACTGAGGAGAAATAGTAGAAATCTTACCATCTTTCCTAAATATATGTGACCGTAGTTCACTACGAACACTATTGGTTGCACGTTTTGAGTACTAACATTTCTAAGTGCAGGAAAAAAATTGTCTTGACAGCATCAAGATCCTCAAGCCATGAAACATAATGACTTGTCTCCTCGCAGTTTAGTTCAGCCCCGGGACAGTTGACGGTCCTGTCTACCAAGCGTCGGACATGTTTGCTTGATTGGAAATAAGCTGTCAATATAAATTACTTGTCAACTCTTTTTAAATAAACAATATCGAAGACATAAATATGGTTGAGAAACTCACATAATGGTAGAACTGGAGGCGTCTGCACATCGACCCAGATGTCTCTATTACCTTCAATATCATCTTCCGGACAAATATCAAAGGTGATAACCATATCAGGCTCAAATGCATAAGCCTTGCATAGTGTTTGCCAAGTTTTGCATTCAAAATAGGTGTATGTGTCTGCATTGTATAATTTGACGTTGAAGCTTAACCATTGCTCGGTCTTCAAGTAAACTTTTTTTACCTCCATAGTTTTGTTAGGACTGAAACCTATCTTATTCAAGACAAAAATTCTTGCATGGCAGGGGATACGCTAGTAGATTAGTGAAAATTTTAAAATAAGTTGAAGCAAATGAAGCATAAGTCATGCTTAATTATGAAAAAAGACTTGTCATTCTGACTTACTGTATCCACTTCGAAGTTCTCATCCAGCTTGATGCTGAAGCGCCTATCATCAATTAGAAAATTTCTGCCGCACAGGCCGCGTCGGTCTTCGCAGTATTCGAACATAATGAAATCGTGTTCGTCGTCAGACGACATTCCTATGTTCATAGGTGAAACATTAAACACTTATTAGTTCTATTAATTCAACTAATTCAACTAGTTCTGTTAATTCAACTAGTTCAACTAATTAATTCAACTAAGCACTTACGAAAAATATACCTAAATAAAGTAGCTCAACTAATTCTACTAACTAGTTCAACTAATTAATTCAACTAAATTAGTTCTATTAATTTTCATACTAAAAATAAGGTAGCTAGTTCTATATAGTAAAATGTTAATTAGGTAATCAAATCTCATATAACTAAATTAAATATATATCTAACATATAATTTATATCTAATTCATCTAACATTTGACATTAATATCTAACATATGTTCATATATAGGTGAAACATTAAACACTTACTAGTTCTATTAATTCAACTAAATAAACTAGTTCTATTAATTCAACTAAGCATTTACTAAAAATAAACTAGTTTTATTATTTCTTACTAAAATAAAGTAGGTAGTTCTATATAGCAATATTTTGATTAGATCATCAAATCTCATATACCTAAATTTTCTTACTAAAAATAACTAGTTCTATTAATTCAACTAATTCAACTAAGAATTTACTAAAAATAAACTAGTCTATTAATTTTCTTACTAAAATATATAAAGTAGCTATGTATAGTAATATTTTAATTAGATCATCAAATCTCATATACCTAAAATTTCTTACTAAAAAAAACTAGTACTAATTCAACTAGCTAGTTCAACTAAGCATTTACTAAAAATAAACTAGTTATATTAATTCAACTAGTTCAAATAATCTCATATACCTAATTAATTAATATCTAGCTAATTCATCTAACATTAACATTCTAACATTCTTATCTAGATAATTCATCTAATTCGATCATCTAATTAACAATTTGACATGCATTAATCTAAAAAACAAAAACAAAAAATAAGTAAAAAAAATGTGTGTGTGTGTGTGTGCGCGCGCGCGCGTGTGCGTGTACGTGCTTGTGTTGTGTGTGTGTGTGTGTGTGTGTGTGTGTTTGTGTGTGTGTGTGTGTACGATCGAGGGCCGCGGCGTACGGGCGGCGGGGGCGATACGACAACAACGGGGGCGGCGCGAGACGGCGACGACGGGTGGCGAGGGCTATTGGAAATATGCCCTAGGGGCAATAACAAAAGCATTATTATTATATTTCATTGTTCATGATAATTGTCTTTATTCATGCTATAATTGTGTTATCCGAAAATCGTAATACATGTGTGAATAATAGACACCAACATGTCCCTAGTAAGCCTCTAGTTGACTAGCTCGTTGATCAACAGATAGTCATGGTTTCCTGACTATGGACATTGGATGTCATTGATAACGAGATCACATCATTAGGAGAATGATGTGATGGACAAGACCCAATCCTAAACATAGCACAAGGTCGTATAGTTCGTTTGCTAGAGTTTTCCAATGTCAAAGTATCTTTTCCTTGGACCATGAGATCGTGTAACTCCCGGATACCATAGGAGTGCTTTGGGTGTACCAAACGTCACAACGTAACTGGGTGACTATAAAGGTATACTACGGGTATCTCTGAAAGTGTCTGTTGGGTTGACACGGATCAAGACTGGGATTTGTCACTCCGTATGACGGAGAGGTATCACTGGGCCCACTCAATAATGCATCATCATAATGAGCTCAAAGTGACCAAGTGTCTGGTCACGGGATCATGCATTACGGTATGAGTAAAGTGACTTGCCGGTAATGAGATTGAACGAGGTATTGGGATACCGATGATCGAATCTCGGGCAAGTAACATACCAATTGACAAAGGGAATTGTATACGGGGTTGCTTGAATCCTCGACATCGTGGTTCATCCGATGAGATCATCGAGGAGCATGTGGGAGCCAACATGGGTATCCAGATCCCGCTGTTGGTTATTGACCGGAGAGTCATCTCGGTCATGTCTACATGTCTCCCGAACCCGTAGGGTCTACACACTTAAGGTTCGGTGATGCTAGAGTTGTAGGGATATGTATATGCAGTAACCCGAATGTTGTTCGGAGTCCCGGATGAGATCCCGGACGTCACGAGGAGTTCTGGAATGGTCCGGAGGTAAAGAATTATATATAGGAAGTGCTATTTCGGGCATCGGGACAAGTTTCGGGGTCACCGGTATTGTACCGGGACCACCGGAAGGGTCCCGGGGGTCCACCGGGTGGGGCCACCTATCCCGGAGGGCCCCATGGGCTGAAGTGGGAAGGGATCCAGCCCAAAGTGGGCTGGGGATCCACTTCCCCCTAGGGCCCATGCGCCTAGGGTGGGGGAAACCCTAAAGGAAGAGTCCTAGGAGGGGAAGGCACCTCCTAGGTGCCTTGGGGAGGA